GTCAAAAGTGAACTCTCTCCCTCCAACATAAAGCTTTGCTGAAAAGTCACAGTTTGAATTTCTGAAGACTTCGATTGCCCTGGGGCTCTTTTCGACATGTAAGTCAACTTGATAAAAATGTTGTGACAGTACATCAGCTCTGTTTCATCGGCAGCCTAACACAGTAACAAATTTCAAACTGTTTGCTATTTAGCTCTGTGCTAAGCGCCTTGTAATTTTAACAACTCAGAGAGTCCTTATAAGAGTGACGGTTTAGTCACAATATTGTCGGTCTGTGTGACAAGTTTTAATGGAGAAAAGGTTACATTTGCATATTCTCCAGTTCCGTGAACATTTCTCAAGTGAAGCCCAGTAACAAATGAGAGTTATGAGCTGGGCTTCTGTAGAAAATTGTAGATGGTTCTTATTTTTCATTCTTCTCTTCCTCATCTAGTTATATACAATACCTGACATTTCTTGAGGGCCCACACTGTGTGCCAGACATTGCTCTAAGGGGTTCCTATATATTACTTCTAATCATCCCAACAACACTCTAAGGTAGAAATTATTATCTCAGTATAACGGATGGACTCCATGGACATTTACTCAGAGCAGACCTCGCATGCTAGCCAGTGGAGATTCAGCAGCAAACAAGACACAGACAGGAGGAACGCTCACAGAGGAACAGCATCTGAACCAACTCTGACTGTATCCAGAACGCTTTGCCCTTCCTAGGACTCTGCCTCTGAAGGGAGATGGGGGAAAAATCATTTCAAAATGGCACATTTTAATGCATAGTTTTGACTACAGGCTACAGTAGTATCTCTTCTTACACTTATATTCCTTCAAATAAGTCTAATGTCCAAATGAATACACAACAGTAAAAGGTTATTTTTTTAATTAAATGGGTATGATATAAATTTTTAAAATATACATACATATATATATATATATATATATATATATATACCCTTATAACAGTCTTAGAGTAACAATTAGTAGTATATATCTAGCTTCTAATAGTTTGCCAAGCACTTTCACTTTCATGTAGATTATTTTATGGTGTCTTTTAAAAAGAAGTCCCATGAAATAGATGGTACGATTCTCTATATTTGATCCATGGAAACCAAGACCAGCAAGCACTAAGGGACTCTCCTGTATTTTTAGTCTAGAAGGGAGAAAGCCAGATGCTCAAGTTCTGAACTCTTTCCTAATTATCCTGATGCCAAATCCTATGCCAGCTCTACTACAATAATCATGGAGTAAAAGATTCATAACATGCTTACTCAACAAAAATGATCAAATACAGTCCATGTTTAGACCAGGGTATCTCAATCCTGGCTCTAATGATATTTTGGGACAGACAGTTCTTTGTCGTAGGGGATTGTATCTGCATTGTAGCATGTTGAGCAGTATCCCTGGCCTCTGCTCTCCGGATGCCAGTAGCATCTTCCAGTTGTGACAACCAAAACTGTCTTCTGGCATTGTCAGATGTCCCCTAGGGACACGGTTTTAAACATGTTTATTTTTTAGACATTGTCTAAAAAAAATCACTGTTTTAGACATTATTTCTGTTTTAGACATTACTTCAAGACAGTGATTACAGCAGACATCATTGTTAGACAGTTAAATTTATCTATTTGAAAGCAGAAAGCTAGAGTTTTATTTCCGCCCCACCACTTAAGTTCATGAACATCTCTAAGTCTAAATTTCCTTCTGTGTGAAATGAAAGGAAACTACATAAGGCTAGTTAAGGATTAAAGCGTGAAAGCATGTGAACGGGGAACCTTGGCAACCGACTTTGTTTGTACTCGCAGTATTACTTAAGATTATTTTTTCGTCTGTTCTATTAGCCTAAACATATCTAAATTTCCTTAGATTTCTTTGTCACAGTACTGACTGCAGACCAGGCCCAGACTTTTTGTATTTGAGTGAAAGGCTCTACGTGATCTCATGCTAACCTTGCTTTCCAGCTTCATCTCCACCACCCGCCCCGCAATTCCCAGGCAGCGCCCCCGCCCCCGCAACGGCCTCCTGTCCCACAGCCAGCCCGGCTGAATGCACATCTTTCCCAAATCTGTCATCCCCTCTTATGGCCCCGTATCTTCCCTCGTGCTGTTCTTCTGCTGGTTTTGTCTTTTCCAGAACTTTGTTTTGTCTTGTGAGCACTGTTTGTTCTTAAGGATTAAGACCTCGTGTGAAGGATAACCAACAAGGACCTACGGTATGGCACAGGGAACTATACCCAATGTTTTGTAATAATTATATGGGAAAAGAACCTGAAAAAGAATACACACACACACACACACACACACACACACACACACATATCTGAATCGCTTTGCTGTACATGTGAAACTAACAACACTGTAAATCAACTATAGTTCAATTGAAAAAAAAAGACCTCATGTAAAGAATCCATGCCTTGTACTGAATTCTGGCCCAAATAAGATAGACATTTTATTTCCTCTAGCTCTTCCCTAGAAGCACATGGGCAGCACAAAATCCAAGCAGAATCTCATGTAGGTAACACAAAGCTTTTCTAGAAAAAGAGGCTTGGATGACTCTTTGGAATTTTCCTCCTTCTATTGATTTTGGGCTGTGCATGTGCCTGTGCGTGTGTGTGTGCATGTGTGTGCACGTGTGCGTGCGTGTGTGCTCATGCATGCACTCTCATGTGTGCATCTGTGCATGCATGCATCGACACAAGCAAGGCCGTGTGTTTGCGTGTGTGCAGAGCCCCTAAGACTGTTCCTCCAGAGCTCTTGTTCAAAGATGTTCTTGAGCTATGCCGTATAAGCCTAATAGAGCAATTCCCATCTGGTTAATAAAATAGGCTGAAATGAATTCTTTACTAATCACTTTCCAATAGCACGGGCTTACCTGAATTCATCTTAGCCATCCAGTGTCTTTACATGACACTTCTAATTTTAATTTACAGGTGTTCTGTAGATTTTGATTTAACTTGAACAAAGGATATAATTTTAAGAGGCTGCTATTATAAGAAAAAAGACTGTGCTTTCTGGATGTTGCACATTGAGGTGGTTTAGGATCATGCAACGCAAGGAAATGAAATTAAAAGAAAAACAGACTTCCTGTGTTTTCATCCATAATTTTTTTCTACTGTGATCACCTAACCAAAAAAAAAATCCGATAGTTTGTCCATTATCAGCAACCACTTAAGTATGTTTTGTGGCAAAGGTGCTCCTGTACTATATGCCCGTTTGAAAATGGATGTCTGCCTAAGATTTTAGGTAAGTTTATTAGGTACTTACTGCACATTAAATCAAATGCTTTATCTTTCCCATAAAAACTGAGCCAATTCTAAAGGAACCCTATTCCACATTGTCTTCAGTAGCTGTAAGGAGGCACCAACATGCTTCATGGTTTGCTTGACAACCTCTACCAGTTGTGATAAAGAAAAGATAAAGAGAACAGGTTAGAATCTATGAGGAAACTTTTAACCTTTGTCTGCTCCGTCTCTGTCCCATTTTTCATGACTCCTCTTCTGAGATGACAACACTGACCTGGTGACAACATCAATAGGATGTATGCTTTTGAGTTGTTTTTCCAGGAGTCAAGTGATTGCTGCAAAGCTGTCTCTCTTCCAGCCTGGCCTTCGGAGAAATAATACCCTTTTGTGGCTCGTGGGGTCAGGGTTTTATCTGTGGTCTCAGAGGTTGCTTTTTTATGTCTCTGTTAAAAATTGGCTCCCTGATGCAAGAATGGAACCCATACATCCGGCCCTGTTAGCTCCATGCTCTGACTGGTTGAGCTGATCGATTTCACGAAAGAATATTCATTTGCATAATGGTACAGTTAACCTTGTGTTTTAGAATGGATTTAAGTATCCTGGAGCATATTTCTTAAAGTTAAATAAACAACCAGCTTCTTGGAGTAGCTCAGATGTAAACAGGAGGATACAGGGAAAGAATGCACCATGCATAAGGTTTATTAACATTGTTTGAATAAACCTAACTCTTTAAATAAATAATTTCCTTTTATAAAGCCTTCTTCATTTCTTTTACAAATGTATTTATTTGTTTTTAATTTATTTTATTTTTGGCTGCGTTGGGTCTTCGTTGCTTCGCGCGGGCTTTCTCTAGTTGCGGCGAGCGGGGGCTACTCTTCATTGCGGTGCGCGGGCTTCTCATTGAGGTGGCTTCTCTTGTTGCGGAGCATGGGCTCTAGACCCGCTGGCTTCAGTAGTTGTGGCTCCTGGGCTCTAGAGCGCAGGCTCAGTAGTTGTGGCTCACAGGCTCAGTAGTTGTAGCAGGCAGGCTCAGTAGTTGTGGCTCACAGGCTCAGTAGTTGTGGCTCACAGCCTCAGTAGTTGTAACACATGGGCTCAGTAGTTGTGGCTCACGGGCTTAGTTGCTCCGCGGCATGTGGGATCTTCCTGGACCAGGGCTCAAACCTTTGTCCTCTGCATTGGCAGGCAGATTCTTAACCACTGTGCCGCCAGGGAAGCCCTATAAAGGCTTCTTGTAGCAATACTTTTATCCCTAGAAAATTGTTATGTTATGATAATAACAATAATAATTATAAATGTAACAAAGATGGCATAACTGCTATCATGACATTTTAGATTGGACCCATCCAGTTATATTTTCTCTTGTCTGATAATTTAACTAAATGCTGTACCTGAACAAGATTGTTGAAATAACATATTAGAAAATAAATGTGATCTTATAAATTATCTACTGAAGCCTAAATGAAACTTGTCTATATTAATAAAATCATGTGCCATTTTAAGTCATTTTTTCCACTCTTCATAAACATGTAACTTCAGTTGATACATTTAAGATTATATATGTACATGTACACATGTATATACTTACAAACTCAAGGAAATCTTTTCAAATCCTTTTTTCAGTTGGTGCATGGGTAAGAAAACCGGAACAATCAGTTGTGAAATATTCCCGTGTAAACTCTCATAGGCATTACATAAGTGAGTTAACCATAGGCTAACAGTATTGCAGGATTTCCCTCTCATGTTCTCCTGCCTTCCTTTTGTTCAGAGAATTTGGATGGAGAGACCCGGAACTGCCTGAAGTGATTCAGATGTTGCAACATCAGTTTCCTTCGGTCCAGTCTAATGCTGCAGCCTATTTACAGCACCTCTGCTTTGGAGACAATAAAATTAAAGCCGAGGTAAGCACTACTTGGAATCACAAATGACTGGTGTCAGATTCATTACCTCTTAGGTGTTCAGAGTAATGTTAAAAGAGAAAGAAACACGAAACTTAAAGTTATGTTATCAAAACTTAGATCCACATTTATGACTGAAGCATAGCACTTTTCGTCTAAGTATTTGGCATGCCTATGTATACATTCTGCTTTTTTATATTTGAATACTGAAGGAATAGAGGACCAAGGATATATGCTAGTATCACAGAGGCAAGATTATGAAATGCTATACTTTTGGTGTGATTTGCCTTTTTCTTCCCAATTGCATCTCTGGAGTCATCTCTGCTTCTAAATCCTAAAGAAATACAAAGCATCTTTGTTGTCTCGTCAAATTACAGCAAGATTACCACATCAATATATGGTATCCTCTGTCCTTTCTGGAAAACTCATTGGTAAGGTGGGAACTTTAGGCAATAAACCAGCTTTGTGTTATAACCAAGCATGCTGAGCCATTTATAAAGATGCCAGTGGATATCATACAGATACATGTGTTCTGTTAAAGAGACTACTATCTGTATCCAGCATGTGAACAATTGTTAACATGCTCTAAGTTTTTGGAATACTTTAAAGTGCATAAATTGTGGTGTGTGATATTTCTGGAAAATCACAGTGGTCAGCACAGCTAACTCTGATTTTTTAGACAAGGGACAAAGCGTTTGCATATGAGCAGCTGAGTAATCAAATTTTTAGAAGAGATTTTATAAGCTACAAAGAGTCATCTCCATAGCATGTAAGCAATTTTGAGGATGAGTCTAAATTAGTTTAAGAGTGAAAAGAAGAGATTTGAAGATATAATTGCAATTTATTATAGATTTTGCTTGCTTGCATTGAGATGTATATAGCCTAGCAGCTTTTCATTTTGTTTTTTTTTT